CCATTCTGAGGCAACCACAGCGGGGGCCAGAAGTTCTCAGCCTCGACTTGAGGACGTTCACCCATAATCCCAGCACTCAGGAGGCAGAAACAAGTGAGCCTCTGTAAGTGTGAGGGCAGCCTGCCCTATGTTACAGTTACAGGAAGACTACATAGCAACACACACACACACACACACACACACACACACACACACACGGGGAGAGAGAGAGACAGAGACAGAGACACAGCTCCCTGTGGCCCTAAACGATGCCCAGGGAGGTAGAGTCACAGACACTCCCCCTAAACCAGAATTGCTTCAGCTGCCGCTTCGCCCACAGGGCTAGTAGATACTCATGAGGATCTGGGGTTGCAGATGGCCTTGTACTAATGGACCAGTTCTCCCAAGCACCCTCCCAGACTTCTGGGTCCTTTGCTTCCTCTGGGGAGCCTTCCTGAACATACCTTTAGAAGCGCACACCCTCTCACAGCCCAAGCTCAAAGGCATTCAAGGGCTTCCAGGCTTCTGCTCTCGGTCTGGTTGTTTAATAATGCCTTGTGTACAGAGGACTGACCACAAGAACTTGGCCTGGAAGGCACTGCTCTTTTCCTAGTGCCTAGCCCCCAGCCTGGAGTCTGCAACGACTGCATTTGCCCTTACAAGAGAGAGGTACTGCTCAGAGCTTCTGAATTACTTCCTGAATCCTCAAACCATCTCTTCCAGGTTGGGCCTCTGTCGATTTTATGAAGGGGACAGAGAAGTGACAAGGTCCAGGATCACACAAACTTATAAGTACTTGGGAGACTGTGTTTGAACCCACTGGGTCCAACACAGAAGCAGCTTTAACAGCCAGTTTTGCCAAAAGAATGTGTTGAGCCAGCAGGTAGTGACACACACCTCTGATCCCAGCATATTTGAAGAGGAGACAAGTGGATCTCTGTGAGTTCAAGGCCAGCCTGGTCTACAACATGAGTTCCAGGACAGCCAGAGCAACACAGAGAAACCTGGTCTTGGTTTTGATAGTGTGGATGAAAATATCAGGTTTGGAAATGTGAAGGAACATGACGTAGGTCCCACTGGCAGTATTAGGGTAGGGGACCCAAGGACTCAGAGTGGGGAGAATAGGGCAGAGGTCTGGCTGTCCCCAGCGAGACACTGTTGTATAAAGTAGAGGCGGGGAAACAACAGGGGGAGAAGTACTGGGTGACTGCGGAAAAGTCCCCTTCCCATTCCTCACCCCAGCTTCCTCATCTGTGAAATGGGTCAGCGTCATGCCAGACCATAGCTTTATACTGATATTTATCCCCTCCCCACAGAGGAGCGACAGCATGGGGACAGCCACTCTTCCTAAGCCAGGGGGAACTCCTGATCCCATGGTGGGGGCTGAGCCCCAGGAGGGAAGAAGTGGCTCTCAGGCTGAGTTGAGTCAGTTCATTGTACACCAGGACAGTGTGGACAGCCGGGTATCACTTGGATCTCAGCCCGCCTCATCTGGGCCATGGAAGCCTTGAGTAAGCAGACACTGAGTGCCGGGTATCTCTAAAGGAGACAGGGCCTATGGGGAGGGGACCCAGCCACCCCAGGTAGTGGAGTTCCTGAAGACTGGACCCTGCAAATCCAAGGCAATTAGAGAGCAGGCCGTGTCAGATGAGGGGACAGTTGACCTATTCCCCAGACCTCTGTATGTGATGCAGGCATCAGTCCCCACACTGTGAGCACTGGAAAGCTGAACCAGGATTTCCCTCTTTCTTTAGGGTACACAGTTCTTCATCAGCCATGGTGGATCTTACACATACACTCACTCACACACACACACCACACACACCACATACACACCACACACACCACACACAAATTCACACACACACCACACACACACTCACACACCACATATACACTCACACACACACCACATACACACACCACAAACACATTCACACACACACACACACACACACACACACACACACACACACCACTTTCCGGCATTTCTAGCATTTTTTGGTCACATTTTCCCATGTAGAGGTTAACTCCTCTGTTGGTAATGAGCAAACTGGGGCTCAGAGATTCCTAGCATTTCCCCAGGTCCACTCAAACAGGGAGGAAAACGCCTGCTTCCCACAGCTCTCTGGAGAGTTGGGCCCAATGTCCTCACCTCTTAATCGCCACCCCAGCCCCGTCCTGGCCCCAGCGGATACCTGATGCTCCCCGGAAAGATGCACCTCACCCAGTCCTCTCTCCTGGCCCCTAGGCCTGGCATTGAGGCCCCAGATCCAATTACACCCCCCCCCTGCACACAACTTGCCACATTGTTGCTGTAGGAAAGTTATCTAGCCCTGCACGCTGACCCCTCATTGACTCACTCACCTGCATTGGGCCCCTGAATCCGGGGACTTCCTGGGGGGGATGGGAAAGGGGACCGGTTGGGGACAGGAGCCTATTCTGGGGCCCTGTAGACGATGTTGACAGGGAGTTCGGCGATGGAAGGAAGCCTAGCCACCCTAGAGGGCATCTGTTCCCTGTCTCCCCTAAAGAGTGACCACTCCAAGCGTGGTTTGTGAGGAAGGGGTGGACGTCATGCAGGCAGGTCTGCTCCCCAGCCTGACTCAGCAAACAACCCCCTACAGGCCTGGCAGGGAGCGGGAGAGGAGGGTTGGGGTCTTTGGTGCCAGAAATGATGACTGGGCATTCCTTGGGGACCCAGAGCATCCGCCAAAAGCAGCCACAACTCTTCCGCACCACTAGCCTGGTCCCATGGAGCAGCCCACTACCCCGACACAAGGTGGTCCCTCCAAAGGAGGGAGTCCCTCAGGAATCTGGGGTGGATGCAAGGTGAGGCTGGTAAGCCCCGGGACACGGCGGGGACTCCGGAGGCTCTTGAGGAAGGGAGGGCCGGGCTAGCAAAGAGGAAGTTGATGGAAGCAAAAGCTTGCAAGAACCCGGCTCTCAAACCCCAGGAAGTCTGGAGCTTGGGATGCCAGAGTCCTCCGATGCCATTTTGGAGACCCAGGCCTCCTCCTCCCTCCACACCAAGACACCAGGCAGAAAACTGCTCCCTAGACTGTCTCCAGGGTTTTGCTGTCGCGAAAGTTTGAGCGTCGTCCGGGACGCTAGTCCTCCCTGTCTCCCCGGTCTGGAGCGAGCGGGGCCGGCTACAGCTACCTGGATCACCATCTCCATCCATCGCTGCGCTGCGGTCTCGACAGAGAGGAGCCGGAGCGCTGCGGGTGGCGAGTCCTGGAGCTGCCCGCGTCAGCCGGGTCCGTGTCACGGCGCCTCTTAAAGGCCCCGCGCGCCCCGCCCCGTCTCTGGCCCCACGTTGAGGGCCGGGAGCCCCGCGCCCCCAGAGCCCAAGGTTCGGCTTCTGGGAGGAGCCGGGTACTGGGGAGGGGCAGATGTAGCCACGGGATGGGTGGGTTCCCGGTACGCCTGGAGGGTGATTGCGTGAGGACACCTGGGTCGGGCAGTTGGGGAGCAGAGGGTGCGGGCGCCAGACCAAGTGGAGTTGGGGGTATCAGCGACTTCCCGCCCCTAAGGTAATTTTCCTAAGCTGCGGAGGGGCGCGTCCCCGGAGTGCGCGGGTGAGGCGGGGCCTGGAGAAATGACGGGCGGGGCCTGGAGGGCAGTGGGCTGGATCGCATCCCGGGCCAACTGGCAGAAAGACGCAGTTCCATGACCCAACATTTTAAGGCAGCTGGACCAAAGGCAAGTGACAGGGAAAATGGGGTGGGGATGGGCGTGGTCTGCCAAGCAGTAGGCGGGTCGCATCTCGGCCCACCATTGGTACGGATGGCTCAGCCCCAAGAACCGGGGGTATGGCGCAGCGCTGCCAAACGCGGGTGGCAAGCAGAATGAGGAGGAGGAACCAATGGTGTAGGGCGGGGTTGGGGCGGGGTCTGGTAGGCAGTGGGCGGGGCCGTGTTCTGCGTGCTGTTCTATGGCCAGGACCCATCTCGCAACACAACCAAGCACAGGTGACCGAAGGAGGGGCGCCCTGAGCGCCCCGGCAGGGAGAGGATTGGCCAGTAGTGGGCAGGTCTGTATCCCGGCCACGCAGGCCCAGGCCATACAGCCTCACGGCCTGGGGGATCGCCCAGCTCTCCGGATCGCAGGTGACCGCGGGAGGGGGAGCACGCAGCGCGGGGACGGAGACGCGGTGGGCAGGGACCTAGAGGGAGTGCGAGGGGGTCTCGCTCTGCGATCCTGGGGGCCCAGCGCCTTTAAGACCCAGGCCTCGGGGCTTGCCCCCACTGCACTGCGAGGCCTCAAGGACCTGGACTGGGAACGCCATCCGTGTTCAGAGGTCTGAATCTCTTCTTGCGCCGGCAGCGCTTGTTAGGGCCACGCATAAGAAATGCGAGACTGCAGGGGCCCTGGGCGGGCGCGGGGGCAGCTTCCGGCTGAAGTCCAACCACCCGGGTGCAGGAGGGAGATAGGAAGGCTCCTGTCCACCCGCACACCTTTCCCCAGTCTCAGGTAAGCGGGTCATATTCTCTAAGATCTTGAGAACTTCACTGAGCCTTTTGTACTCTGTGACCGGTCCTGAGACAGTGATAGCCCCCGCTTATCGTCTCTCTCCCTTTCCTCGTTGGAGGATGGGAGAGGATGCAGAGTGGCCAGCTAGACTAGAGAGCTCACAAGGCCTTCCATTGTTGCCCTCCTCTTAAAGACCGCTGGCCTATTGAACACGGCTGGCTCTACCTTCTGTAAGGGCCAGGGCTACTTCTCCGTCCTCTCCTGTTTGTGTGACCTTGGGCAGCCTTAGAGGCTGTCTTAAGGGCCGAGTTTGGAGGAAATCAGAGCTCACCGTTTACTAAGAAATTCCCTAGCCCATGCACCTTGAGCTGCCTGTGACCCTGGAGGGAAGTGCCATTTCTGCCCTGTTTGCTTGCTGAAGAGAAAGCTGAAGGTCAGCGCAGCACAGTGACTCTGGAGACAGTCAGTGGCAGCTGAGTTAGCAATCTCTCTGTCCCCGGGTGCCAGGGAGAAGGCTGGGTGTATAGCGCAGCTCTCCAACACCCACAGGAGCCACTGCCATGGCTGTAGGCAATATCAACGAGCTGCCTGAGAACATCTTACTGGAACTCTTCACCCACATACCGGCCCGCCAGCTGCTGCTGCGTTGCCGACCTGTCTGCAGTCTCTGGCGAGACCTCATTGACCTGGTGACACTCTGGAAACGCAAGTGCCTTCGAGAGGGCTTCATCACAGAGAACTGGGACCAGCCTGTGGCTGACTGGAAGATCTTCTACTTCCTGCGAAGCCTCCGAAGGAACCTCCTTCACAACCCATGTGCGGAAGGTGGGTACGGAGAGTATCTGCCAGGAGACATGCTCTGTAAGGTGACCAGTGGACATGTCTTGAACACTGGTTGTCTACATTATGGCCTTTATTCCTCTCACAATAATTCTTGGAAACAGGTACTATTTTTTTAATTTTTATTTATTTTTGGCTTTTTGAGTAGCTTTGGAGTCTGTCCTTGAACTCCCAGAGATCCACCTGCCTCTTCTACCTGAGTGCTGGGATTAAAGGCGTGCACCACCACCTGGCTAGAAGTTGGTACTATTGATGTACCCTCTTTTCAAATGGGTAAACTGAGGCCAAGGGTACTGTTTATTATAGATCATTTCTCAGCTGGGTAGGATGGCACACACCTGTAATCCTAGTGTTGGGGAAGTGGACATGGGAAGATAGGAAGTTCAAGGTCATTGTTAGAAGCCAGTCTGGGATACGTGAGACTCTGTCTCAAAACGAATGGATTATTTCTCAGTTGGTAACAGTGCTCACACTGTTACCCAGCACTGGGGAAGCAAGCAGAAGCGTCATGAGTTTGAGGGCAGCCTCTCCTAAAAACCTTTCCTAGGAAAAGAAACGGTGGCCAACTGGGAACAGATTGCTAGACACAAATTGAAGCCACATCTGTTGTCCTCACTTACAGACCCCCGGTGAGGCCTACAGGGACTGTCCCAGAAGGAGTCTTACCTATGGGAGAATGGGGGATGAAGTCTCCTTTGCATTGTGGTTTAAGAACAGGTCAGACACAAGGCGTCTAGTTATCTGGACCTCTTAGGCTGTTCTGTACCCTGAGGATGAGTTACTATGGGAAGGAACTTGTTTTCTGTTGCACGGTCAACCATCGGGAAAAGTAGTAACAGATGAAGTCCAGGCTTACCCAGACCCTCCAGTTGCCTGTCTGTGTTCCTTGACTTCTCATAGCCATGCTCTTGACTGATGCTAGACAGACTACAGCCCAAACCTAGCTAATATATTGAGAAGAATGTTATGGTTTGTTTTGTTTTGTCTGGTATTCAGTACGTGGCTTAGACTGGCCTTGAACTCACAGCAATCCTCTTGCTTTGGCCTGCTAGGCTGGCAGAGTATGTGCCAGCACAGGTTAGCTTCTATGCTCGTTTCTAGCTAACAAAAGGACCAAGGCTCAGAGAAGGAAGGCAATGGGTCTATGGCCACACGGCCCATTACTGCTGGAGTGTGCCCGCCAGAGCACTGTCTGCCACAGCTGGGGTCTGGTCATCCAGGATTCTCAATGGAAGTCCCTTACCTACACCCAGTGTACACAGGAAGCAACTAGGGTGCTACCTACAATGACAAAGCTCACGGCTGGAGGTTAGAGCATCCCATCCCACCACTGAGAGGAAGGGGTGCATGGAGAAGGTGCTCTGGGGGGGCCTCCTGCGTGGCACATGTTGCTCTCACCACAGAGGGATTTGAGTTCTGGAGCCTGGATGTGAACGGAGGTGATGAGTGGAAGGTGGAAGACCTCTCCAAAGACCAGCGGAAGGAATTCCCCAATGACCAGGTCAAGAAATACTTCGTGACTTCCTATTAGTAAGATCTAGGGCCTTAGGGTGGGGGGATCCCAAGTCCTAACATCAGGGTACAGTGCTGAACTCCAGCCCCCCTCCAGCACCTGCCTCAAGTCCCAGGTGGTGGACCTCAAAGCTGAAGGGTATTGGGCAGAGCTGATGGATGCCACCCGACCGGACATCGAGGTCAAAGACTGGTGAGTGAGGAGTGAGGGTCTGGGGGGAGCCTGCCACCCAGGCGCCTCTGCCCTGTCCCCATCTTCCAGGTCCTTATGGACCCTTCCTTCTTCTACCCACAGGTTCGCAGCCAGACCAGACTGTGGGTCCAAGTACCAGCTGTGCGTACAGCTCCTGTCATCGGCACACGCACCACTGGGAACCTTCCAGCCAGACCCCACAACGATCCAGCAGAAGAGCGATGCCAAGTGGAGGGAGGTATGTGGGCAGGGACCCTGCAGGGACCTGGACTCAGACCCAAATTTTGCCACCTCTCACCTGGGTTTCTGCTGCTCTAAGCCTCAGCCTCATTTGCTTCAGTAGAAAAATAAGAGTAAGCCTCCCTCTTAGATACGAGAGATGGGAGACTAGGAGAGCCCCAACTCAAAAAAGTTTCCAGAAAGGATGTGATGGGAGATGTCATTCTGTAAATATTATGTTTCTCATACTGGTTAATGAATAAAGCACTGTTGGCCAATAGGAAAGGAAGATAAGAGGGACTAGGAGACAAGGAGGAGAGAGGAAGGAGTAAGGAGGAGTCAGCATGGAGTGAAGGGATAGAACAGAACCGCCAGCCCCTGCTCTCTGGTAAGACAACGTGGAAACACATAGAAATGGATCAATAATTAAGACAGAGCTAGCTGATAAGAAACTAGTACCTGGCCAACAGCATTATATCAAATACAGAGTCTCAGTGTGTTAATTGGAACTGGCGAGGCAGTGGGACCAGACCAGCGGCAGGAGGAAAAACCTTCTCGTTACAATGTCTCAGTGGTAGACTGATTACATAACTTACATGAAGCCCTGTGCCCCATCCCCAGTACTAAAAAGTAAATAAATAACTGGGCCTGAAGACATGCCCTCAGCAGTCCCCATCGCGTTTACTCTTGCAGAGGACCCAGGTTCAAATCCCACACGGTGGCATACAACCATCTATAACTCCAGTTCCAGGGATTTGATCCCCTCATCAGTCCTCTGCAGGTACCAGGCACATAAATAGCTCATATACATACATGCTGGCCAACACTCATACACATAAAATAAAATGATATCTAAAATATATCTAATAAAAATAAATAAACACTGTGCCACCAGAAATGCTCAGCATTGAGCATTAGTCAAGGCTAGCCTGGTAACTTAGGGAGACCTTGTCTTAAAATTAGAAACAATGAAAAAGAGAGCCAGGGATAACACACAGTAGTGGAATGTCTGCCTAGAATGTACTGGATCAACCCATGCATCACAGAAAAATAAAAATGTTTAGAGCCAAATATGGTGGCTCATGCCTATAATCTCAACACTTGTGAAGTGGATACAGGAAGATTAGAAGGCCATATATAGCAATGTCTAGAACAACGTGTGCTATCTAAGAGAGGAAAAGAAAGAGAAAATATCCAGGTGTGGCTGCTAGATTAATAACTAACCTTACTACAAGAGTCCCCAACTTGTATTGTATATGTGGACCCCATGCATGCAGTACCCAAGGCGGCCAGAAGAGGGTGTCAGATCCCATGGAACTAGAGCTATAGAGGTTGGAAGTTGCCCTGTTGTGGGTGCTGGGAATTGAACCTTGATCCTCCGCAAGGGTCCTCTTAAACCCTGAGCCATCTCTCCAGATCTTCCCCTCTCAACTTAAATCTTACTTTATAATGGGACTGTGACCCCACAGTAAATCTAGGAGCATCTGGACTCACCAGCATTTTTTTCTAATGGGCAATGGGTTTATCAAATACATTTTCAATTTAGCTGGATTTTAGTTTAAGGTGGGTCTGCCTGCACCTGCCCACAAACAGTTGAGAAACAGCTGTTATCTATGCCGTGGTCACACGTGCTGTCTTTCTTTTCTTTTGGTGGAATTAGATACAGAACCTAAGACCTCACACATGCTAGGCAAACAAGGGCCTCTACCACAGAAGCCAGACACAAACCCCAGTGTGGTGAATCAAGCCAAGCCTGAAACACTGGTACTTAAGAGGCTGAGGCAGGGGCATCACTATACCATTCCAAGACAGTCTGAGGTTTTTGTTGTTGTTTTCTTTTCCTTTCTTTCTTTCTTTATTTATTTCTTCTTCTTTTTTGTTTGTTTGTTTTTTCTAGACAGGGTTTCTCTGTGTAGCTTTGGAAGCTGTCCTGGAACTCGCTCTGTAGACCAGGCCAGACTCGAATTCACAGAGATCTGCCTGCCTCTGCCTCCCGAATGTGGGATTAAAGACCACCATTCATGGCCAGCTTGAGTTTTATAGTGCATCCCAGGTATGCCTAGGTCATAGAGACCTGGTGTTAAAAATACATAAATACATACATACACACACAAGAAACAAATAAGTAAAACATCTGGGCAAGGTGGGGTGTAGCAAGGCAGCGGCAGACGATCTCTGTGAGTTCAAGGTCAGCAAGTTCTAGGTCAGCAAGGGATACACATTAAATAAACAAATAAGTAAGTACACCAGCAACAACGAGCCAGGCTGAAACCTTCAAGATAAATGTTTCATGAGGAAATGGCACTTGCTATTAAGCCTGAGGACTTCAGGTCAGTCCCTGGGACCCACATATTGGAGAGAGTCAACTCCAACAAGTTATCTTCAGACCGACACACATGCACTGTGGCATACATGTGCGTGCACATACTCACATGCATACTAAGTAAATGTCATTTTGAGAGTTGTTTAACCCAGATGTGAGGACTGGAGACATGGCTCAAAGGTTATGAGTGTTTGCATCTCTGGCGGTGGTGGTGCACACCTTTAATCCCAGCACTCGGGAGGCAGAGGCAGGCGGATCTCTGCGAGTTCAAGGCCAGCCTGGGTGGTTACATAGAAATCCTGCTGCTCTTACTATTTGGATACCTGCACCATGTCAGGTGACTCCAGCCCTGGAGCCCTCTTCCGGCCTCTGTGGGCACTACACCCACATGCCCAAATACACATACACACATACCCAAACATTCTGTCACAAGGACTGCTGCTGTGTGGGAAGGCAGCTTCAGACAACAAGTGAGTCCTGTTCCAGTAAAACTTTATTAACAAAAAAAAAAACACCGGTGAACCAAGCCTTTATGTACACAAGTCCTCAGCCAGTTGAACCTTGAGTAAAACCCAACCCTTTCTAAGCTGAGTAATATGGGTCTTTATGTCATCTGATTTTATTTTTATTTGTGTTTTGATCTATCTAACACAGGCTCTCATGTAGCCCAAGCTGGTTACCACCTTACTGCTTGCCTTGGCTCGGGCTCCTCCTGCCTCTACCCTCCAAGAGCTAAAGATTCGGGTGTTTGCTACCACCTGGTTTATGTTGTGCTGAGGATTGAACATGGGTCTTTGTGCATTTTACAGGGCAAGAACTTTACTGAGCTACAACATTGGCTCTTTTGTCATTTTCTGACTGGGTCCCAAGTATCCCAGGAGGGGCTCTAAGGCAATATGTAGCCACAGCCGAGCCTCGTGCCTTCACCTCCCGACTGCTAGAATCAGAGGCATGTGCCATTGTGGTGGTGGGAATAGAATCCTGGACTTCAAGCATGCTACACGCGTACTTTCAATGAATCTACATCCCCAGCTCTGGCTTTGTCCTTTTTTTAAGATTTATCTTGGTGTTACGTGCATGTGTATTTTGCCTGTATACCTAGGAAGCCAGAAGAGGGCAATGGATCTCTTGGAACTGGAGTTATACATGGTCATAAGTTGCCATGTAGATGCTGGGAATCGTATTCTGGTCTTTTGCAAGAGCATCCAGCACTCTTAAAAAGATCTCTCCAGTCCCCCTGCTTTGCTTTTTGAGACAGGTCTCATGTAGTAGTCCCTGACTGCTCACCCCCTTCTGTCTGCCCCCCCCCAGGTTTCACACACATTCTCCAACTATCCTCCCGGCGTCCGCTACATCTGGTTTCAGCACGGAGGCGTGGACACTCACTACTGGGCCGGCTGGTACGGCCCTAGAGTCACCAACAGCAGCATCATCATCGGGCCCCCGCTGCCCTGATGCCCCTGAGCCCCTATCCTCGGAGCCCTAATTGGTAAACAGCTTTCAGAAATGTCCAGGCTTGGGAAGGAGAGGGTGGAAGCCAGGCACTCCCAGACCTGTTTGTCTTTACCCCCAGTGCCTCCTCTTTGTAGAACTTCTAGTGTCTGGGCCATACTCCTCTCTGCAGAGGCTGGCCCTCCAGCAAGGTCATCCCTCTAAGGAGTGCAGGTTAGGTGGATACAAGAGGTTTCCATAGTTATCAGAGAGAGAGAGAGAGCCCCAAGCTCGGATGCTTGCCCAGACCTGTCTCTACCCCCAATCTTTGTTCTCCTTCAGGGCCCATACAGCAGGGACAGGCAAGATATCTTTCAGGTTTGGGGACTGTCTTTGATAGTGAAGACCTTGGGGGCAGATCTAGGATAGACGGTGGCTCTGCAGGCCAGACCTTAGCCTGGTTGTCAGCTGTGGCTTTTGTCTTGGTTGTCTTCCTAGCTTTGGCTTGGAAGTCAGGACTGGTACCAGATAGGCAGGTAGGATCAGACTATCCTTACCATCAGCAAAGTCCAGAAAACCGGGGGGGGGGGGGGGGGGACGACGGGGGCGTGTACCAATGAATGCAGGGCTCCCAGAAAACCTATGGAATCCCACTCAAGGTTGGGATGGGGTGGGATGGGGTGTGTGTGTGTGTTGAAAGGATGGGCCTGGATTCTGAGAGTTGGAATGGGGAAACAGAGTAGAAGGACCTGGCCAAGTTCTCTATCTATGGCTTGGAGATGTGCGAGCCCCAACTGTTGGAGCTCCCATTCCCGCACTGTACCCTGACCCCAGCCCATCCCTCCTGTTGCATAGCCAAATAAAACATTTCCCAACCTCCTTGTGCCCTGTGGCTTTGGAGGGAGGGATAGGTTCATGGACAGTTTTGCCTGTCCCTAAGAGAGGGGCTGACCATTACAGAAGTGTGGCCATGGTAGCCCTTAACGAAAGGGACACAGCCCTCAGTGCTACAGGCCTCTTGCCCTCCAAGCAATCTCGGTGGATTTCTCTGTGCAGCCCAAGCAAGCTGTGCCAGGCTTCTATTACTGCTGTCCCCTGCTCAGAGCCTTATTGATTTAGACTGAGCCCAGCACACAGTAGGTGTTCAGTACTTGTCAACGTTATTTCACTCAAGAATAAAACCGATGGGGGTTAGCAGGAATGGGCCAGAGTTCACCAGCCACCTGCCTTGACCAGAGTTAGTGAACTCCCCTCGAGCCTCAGCCACCGTTCACAACCCATGATGACTGCCTCAAACAGGCACTTGATAGATGTCTGAGTTAATTATTTTGACTAGGACCAGAAAAGGTTTTTCTCCTCAGGATCACTCAAAACCCAGAAAGAAACTGAACACCGCGTGGTGGTGCAGGCCTTTAATCTCAGCACTTCAGGAGGAAGAGGCTGTGAGTTCAAGGCCAGCCTCATCTACAGCGTGACTTCCTGGACAGCTAGGGCCAAGTAGAAAGACCTCCTTGTCTCAAAACAAGAACAAACGAATCAAGAAAATCCTCCGGAAAGAGGAACAACGGTCCTCCCGGTGGTGAGGGAGGGGCCGGGTTAAGTCTTGGCTGGAGTGCGGTAGGGACTGGATTCTAGGTAGCGCTTCCTTCGCTGGAGGAAGCAGGCTGCTGAGTCGCCTGTCGCCTGGAGGGGGAGACCGAAGCCCAGGAAACGCCGCCTGTAGAGCCCTGGAAGCAGCGGCGTGCCGAGGGCCCCTAGGACCCCGAGCGCGTCTTCGCCCGGACGCGGAGGGCGGCTGATCGGTGCGTGACGCGAGTGGGAGGCCGGGGCGGGGCGGGGCGACAGAGGATCGCGGCGCCACGGTCCAGGCCAAGGCCCAGCAGAGCTGCGGCCGCGCGGTGCCCAGGTCGCGGCCGGGTGGGGCGCGGGTGGGTGGGACGGCGGCGGGGCGGGGCGGGGCGGGGGCGCAGGTCACGCGCTCGTGGGCAGGCTCCGGCCGCTCCGGCCGGTGTCCTCGGGTCCCGCGCCGGGACGCCGCCGGGCCTGCTGTACGTACGCGAGTGTCCGGAACGGCGGCGACACCGGCTTCTCCTTGGTGCAGGGGGCTAAGGGGTGGGGGGGGAGACGTCCGCGCGTGACCGGGGCAGAGCCCGGCGTGGATCTCCCCACCAAGGACACCCGGGGCACTGCCATCTCCCTTGCAAGGTGGCTTGTTGTGGGTGAAAGTGTCACTGGGACGGAATGCCACCAGGGCCGCGGCCGCAGGAGGCCCCCGCTCGGCGGCGCCCAGTGACTCACTGGTTTAGGCAGTGACTGGGAGTTGCCGGCACCTTTCAATCCACTTAGTTTAACTGGGTTTTTGTCGGTTGTTTCTGAGGATGGAACCGGGGGCGGGGGTCTCCCAGGTGCCAGATAAGCGTGCTACCACCCGGCGGCTCCACCTTTGAGGGGGAGACATTTCTGATCTTTCTGCCTCTCCTTCTGAAGCACACGTGCTTGACAGGCAGGCATCTGCCAAGAGTCATATTCCCAGCCCTATTTACCTTTACATTTTATAAACTGATCGGGCTGGGCCGAAATCTTCAAAATCCCCGCTGTTATCTAGGACTATGAGGGACTATGAGGGTGTGCCACCCCGGTCTTTATTTGTATTTTGACTTTTTTTTACAATGGTAAAGCGTACTATACCGCAGTCTTACCCTGCCTATGTTATCACCCCCCCCCCTTTAATTTTTATGTGCATTGGTGTTGTAAGATCTGGAACTGGAGTTACCCACAGCACCCTATGGGTGCTGGGAACTGAACCCTGGTCCTCTGAAAGAGCAGCCAGTGCTCTTAATGGCTGAGCAGTCTCTTCAGGCCCTGGACTGCCTCTCTGGCCAAGCATTTAAACAAGGCCAAGATACCTCGTGGTTCTTCCCTCCCACACACACACACACACACACACCCAGAACTCCTCCAGGGCATCTGGGACAGGGGCCCTAACAAGATCACCAGGGGGCGGGAAGATGGGGAGTTTCCCTTTCCCAGAAAGTAGGTGGAGAAGTGTTTCCCTCAGGCTTAGGCAGGTGAGCTCATTTGAGTCACAGCATAGAGCCCTATTCAGCCCACCCCCCACCCCAGGGTCAGGTTCCCAGGGTGGCCTAGAGCTTTCTGACAATCAGACACTCCCATTCTGGCCTGGCCTGATGCCCAAGGCCACATACCTGACACCTGGGCATTAAAAATGTGATGTCACAGCAGTACTAGACTAGAGAACCTGAGAAACTGCAGAGTGGCCACAGAAGACTCTTTCCAGGTCAAGGGACCAACTAGCTCCAAAACAAAGCAGTTTGGGGTGAGGGGTTACAGACAGAGTTTCCTGTAACAGAGGCTGACTTAGAACACTCGATCCTCCCAAGTGCTGGTATTACAAAAATTCACCACCAGACCTAGCTCCTAAGCAATTATTTTTCAGTGGGGGTAGGGGCGCTTTTAAAAATCTTGTCTTTTTGTGGTTGTTGTGTTTTAGTTTTTGTCCTTTTTTTTTTTTTTTTTGAGACGAAGTCTTGTTTTGCTGCTCAAACTGGCCTAGAACTGCTGGGCTCAAGGCCAGAGACACAGTTCAGTGTCAAGAGTTTGAGCCTAGCATACAGGAAGCCCTAGATTCCATCATTAGCCTGCAAAGTTTTTTAAAGCTCAATTTTGTGGTCAGGCGGTGGTGAGGCACACCTTTAATCCCAGCACTCCGGAGGCAGAGGCAGGCCGATCTCTGAGTTTGAGACCAGCCTGGTCTACAAATTTGAGTTTCAGGACAGGCTCTAAAGCCACACAGAGAAACCCTATCTTGAAGAACTAAAAAACTTAATTTCGTTCTTGTGGTGGTCTTTGAAACCCAACCCAGGCTAACCTGACCTAGAATCCGAGTAGCGCAGACAGTCTTCCTGCCTTAGCCTCCTTGCTGCTTGGAGCACAAGCTGCTAAATTCGGTACATTGTTCATTCTCATTTCCCTTTTGCAAATGCACACAGCGAGGTCCCTGCTAATCTCAAGAACCACACTCCACCCCCACCCTGTAGGTGCTTCCTCACAAGGTTTCAGGTCAGCGAATGACCTGCCTGACACGCTCTAGAACCTGGTGGGAGGGGAGGCGCCAATCATTTCGGATCTTCTGCTCGGGGCTCACGCTCACAGCCACTCTCATCCCCTGCCCCTCCCAGGCCGGGGAGCCTAGCTCCCCATCGCCACCATGGTCAACATTAACGAGCTCCCGGAGAACATTCTTCTGGAGCTGTTCGCCCACGTCCCCGCCCGCCAGCTGCTGTGTAACTGCCGCCTGGTCTGCAGCCTCTGGCGAGACCTCATTGATGTGGTGACTCTCTGGAAACGCAAGTGCCTGCGAGAGGGCTTCGTCACCAAAGCCTGGGACGAGCCCGTGGACGACTGGAAGATCTTCTACTTCCTGCGCAGCCTGCAGAAGAACCTCCTTAGGAATCCGTGTGCCGAAGGTGCGCTGTGGGGGTGGGGACGCGGGGGCAGGGAGGCGGCTGCCCCAGGAGCCTGCCCTCTACTTTTCTGAACCTCGGGGCTTGTGTACTTGCTCTTCCACAATGCCTGCTATGTCCCCATGTCCCCAACATTTACATACCACACTCTGTTGTTCGGGTATCAGCCCTGCCTAGACCCTTTATCTACTATTCTGTGTGCATGGTTGGGGGATATGTGCGTGTGGCTGTCAGAGAGCAGGCTCAGGGAGTTGGCTCTCTCCTTCCACCACGTGGATCGTGGGGTTCAACTCAGGTTATCAGGCTTGCCAGCAAGCACCTTACCTGCAGAGCCATCTTCACCCTCTGGGTTGAAGCCTGAGTCCTGTGTGGCAATGAACACCAGCACTCAGGAGGCAGAGGCAGGCAAATATCTGTGAGTTCAAGGCCAGTCTGATCTACAGAGCGAGTTCCAGGACAGCTAAGGCTACATGGTGAGACTGTCTCCAAAAAAAAAAAAAAAAGTTAAGAGGCCTTGTCTGTGCTCTTCAAATGTCTGCCATTTTTTCCCCTGTCCTCGATAGGATTCTGGAA